TCCAACTTGAATTGAATGCGATCGGAGCCTTGAAGATCTGGTCGTTATAGGGCTGCGACACCACCCGCGCCTATTCCAACTTTAGGGGTTCCAGCGTGGATTTCAATGGGGAAAAACCAGTGGCAACGCAACTTGAAGCGCACACCAAACAACTTTGGAGTTTTCAGCTTGTGTTTCCTATCACAGTGTACACCGAACAATATGCTTCAGCCTGTGTTTCATGCCAACCTCAACATATGAGATGTGTTCTAAGACCCTTTGTTGTGTGCCTCTTGGGCCCATCGCGAATCAGTGGCACTTTTAGGGGAAGTCTCTGGATGGCCAAAGAATCACCCTCCTCCTCAAGAAAGACCTCCGGGTTTGGCCTGGCACGTCGTCGCCTGGGCGCTGTTTTATGTTTACCCTCGACATGGGCGAGGGGGGGGGGGCAAATGGGGGTTGATCAATGTTCCGTTCGGCCCGCAAATAACCGTGGGCAACTTTGGCCCATGTGGAAAATATAAAAGAAAAAAAAACACTTGGTGGTTTTTGAACCAGCGGTCATCCTAAGGTCCTATGTTCGGACCTTTTGCTCAACCCAAGTGTTTTTTGGCGGTTGGCGCCCGTCTCCGCCGCCTGCAGGAAGCTGTAGGCCCCCATGGTGGCGATGATCCCCAGACCGTAGTGCACGCACGACAGCCTGAAGCATATCACCCCTTGACCTGAAATGGGTGGCGTTTCAGGCTCGGTACCGTTTGAGGCATACCCTTTTAGGGTTGGTTTAGAGGGAAATCAATTGAAAACCAGCATGTGTGTTGCTGTTGTTGTTGTTGTTGTTTTTGGGAGGGATCCCCATAGATTTTGAAACATATCAGTGTAGTAATTACAGCTTTGCCAACCAGTTCAATGCAACTGATCGACTCTTTGAACACTCGAAGCCCCTCTTGTACACCAATCACTGTCCGCTTCCAAATGCTCGGCCATTTCCTCGCATTATCATTTTAGACAGGAGGCGAAGGCATGGAGAAACATATATACACAAGTGAGTTTGAACAATTGGGATCCTTTCGGATGCTGCACAACTGATTGACCTTTGGCGAAGCCGTCTAGACCAGGTCCCCTGAACCTATGGTCACGTGCTCCCATTGCTCAAGTCTTGGGGGGGGGGGGGGGATAAACCGCACTAGTGATAGATTCCCTTTGAAACCATCGAGTTGTTTCTTCCTTGTCGGGTCCTGGGATCAGGGGCAACACCGTCCACGTGCAACGGCAAAAAACAGCTCTTGTACAGGCCGGCAGGGCAGGCTTCCAGGTTCTGTGGAGCTGGGGATTCTCCGCTTTGCAATAGGCTTGACGTGCCAAACCAAAAGGCTTCTTTCTCCACCCAATGCCAGGCTTGGGCCAAAACGGGTTTGGGGAGTCACTTGTTTGAACCACCCCCGCTGCTTAGCTTCCTCAAGTCTTTGAGGGCTCCCAGCAAATGGTGAATGCGTTGAAATGACGCGAATCGGCCCCTGTCGGGCCACTCTACAAGGAGCGAAGCATGAAACAGGAGGTCCCTGGATGAGTGGGAACTGCGGATTAACAACCCACCTGCCAATAGGCTGGGTGTCACAGCGAAGGATTCCCGCCAGGAAAAATTCACCCCCCTGTCAATCAACCAGACATTTATTCCCGGGTGAACAGAACAAATCAGAGCAAGGAAGCTATGTTTCGGACTAAAGAATTCCCATGGCTAACGTTCAACATGGGGCTTTTGACACATTCCTCCCGGCGAAAATGAAAAGAACTGCTCGTGTGGAGTGCCCTCACATGGAACCCCAAAACGGGCCCAAAAGGTGCGCAAGGGGATTCCAACAAGCGACTTTTTGGTGTCAAGTTGGGAACGCCAAAACCCAGACCCGCAGTGGCCATGGGAAAATAAAGAGGGTACTATATTGTTAGCAGTTGGGTTTACAAGGAACACCCTCCAAAAACAGATGAAACAAGAGGCACAGCAAAACCTCGATTCCCACTGCAGGTGAGCCGCCATTCCCAGGACGGCCACCTCACTTTGTCCATAAGCGTCGCGCCATGGCCGCAAGCCGCTAACGCGGCTCAATTTCAATGCTCCGAACTCGAACCCCTCGCTGGGTGAATTCCCCGGTTTGTGAATGCCATCAACCAAAAAGAGCTTCAAAGGCTCTGAAAGGTTTGCCTAGATCAACCAAACCCTGCCAGCCAAAAACGGAACCGATCCCTACCGGGCCCGACTGGCTTGGCTTTCGCCTGCTGTGTGGGATATTCCGGAAATCCAGAAAATACCTTCAAGCGGGTATGCTGGGGGGGTATCTCACTTCCGTGGATCGGGCTAAAAAAGTCCGGACTGGCGGTTTACCGCTCTTCTGCTACCAAGTTGTTTGAGTCCAGAAAGTCCAGCAACTCGAGAGGCGAATCCTTTCAGATAGACTCTGATCCGACCAAACGGACCTTCTCATTTGGATCCCAATTCAGCTGCGAGTCTGCCCAGAGTACTCGTTTG